TACTATAAACCAGATACTCTGTTGAAACTCAATGAAGTTGGTTAACACCATTGTTGTGGTTTCTGAGTTATCATGTAATAAAAAACAAGCAGGAGATAGAAGAACAATAAATTCAAACTTTTTGCTATGATATTTGCAGACTTTCCTAGAACTTGCGACTCAGTCATTATATAGATATTGTTATAAAAGGAAACACTGTATAATATAATTCTGATGGCCTACTGAAGAAATATTTAAAATACCATTTCGATGAAAAATCCGAGTCATCACTACATAGGCAGTGCTACCTCCTGCTTGAAAAAGTGTTAGTTTTTGTTTGTCTTTTTCATTCAACCACCGAAAATATCACTAAACTACATACGAGGTCATCGAACCTGCAGTTATTGTAATGCTCAGGTGACTGCGCACTTCTTTTACACTAGGTTTGAGAGTACAACATAGTTCTCAAATACTCAAATAAAAAATGGGTAAACATATCACTCGTAAGCTTACGCAATTTCACAGTTTATCTATCTTGAATGATTAATATTTATGAATTAAATTCAGCAACAGTATTGCACATTACCTCTTCTTGCATAAAGTGATAGAGAGAGATAAGGAAAAAATAATAATTTAATAGTTTTTGGGAAAAATAGGAAGCCATAATTATATATAGTATTTTAAACATACATCAGCTGTGTTAATAGTGAGTGGAGAAATACCAACTCTTTTTATTGGCTGTGTTTTTTTTAATGGTCACGTGACATAGTCATATGATCGCTGATAGTGTATTTTTAACCTTGTTTTGTTCGCTGTCGTACTAATGGAAAGTAGTTAAGTTGTGGAGTAAGGAATAGTTCAAATTATTCTAACCTTGTCAGAAACTAAGGTTTAATTGTGTTTGAATTACATTTTTCATTATTTTTTAATTTTCGTTTATTAGTTTCGTTTATAATTGTTCACAGAATTGAAATTTTTAAGTACTAATTTTAAAGACTGCATATTGTTACTTGTCAAATTCAAAACGTTAGTTACTACAATTTTTACTTAGGCTTAAGAAGTTAAAAGTAAAACTTAAGAGTTGAAGACTTACTGTTAGTAATAATTCATTTTATAAATGTAAACGTTGTTTTAAACACAGAATTGTGATATGGCTCATCTCTTTTTCGTCTTTTCCTCTTTTCTGTGATCGATACGAACTTCAACTTTTAAATCTTTCTTTAGACTTTAGTTTCAACATTAGAACTAACTACTAAGTAAGAGTAAGAGAAAGAAAATAACAAATTACAAAGAAAGCTATGTTGTAACTTTTAAATGAAAATAAATATTCAATGTCAGTTGTTACATTACAGTACTAAGTTAGTTATTACCAGTACATTGTGTTAAACTTAAAGTAACAACCATTTAAGTATTCCATTCTTTACACTGGCTTTACATTTTCTCTAAAATGTACTTGTATTACTTTTAGTATATAGGAGTGCCATGATTCATCCAAATCCACTTTGATTTCACAAAAATCAAGACCGAATATATAATTTTAGATATAAATTAAGGAGTCTGAATGCAACTGAAGGTGTAAACAAGAGGAAATCCTCAATAGCTGTGGAACTTGAAATTCTTTTAGGTAGGATTAGAGTAAATTAATCTATGAGACCTTTTTTTTTTCCTTTTTATTAACTATATTGTTATGTGCCAGCAATATCAAGCATGGGGTGTGTGTATACTCAATTCAATTTTATTACTCATCAGGATCTCTACCAGCCTACCTTCGAGTTGAAATTATTTTAGGCAGAATTACAATAAATTACTCTATGAGACCTTAGGCATGATTAAATATATCAATCGAAAGGATTTGATCTCCTGAGTCGAAAACTGTAATTAGATCTCAAATTGGTCAAGAGATGACTGAGCTATGAGCTAAAAGTTTATACTTGAAAAACTCGGAGCCATTCTGTGAGAGGCTAAAAAATGTTGTGCATTATTTATAAATAATTTTTTCTTGTACAGTATAGTTACCTTAGCCTGTGAACATCCACAAAGTTGGGAAGGCCCATGCACATGTCCTGATGCTATATATGAATTAATATCTACCAAGAGGGTATGTATGAACTTTAATGAGCCACTTAGTGAAAAGTATTTTTTTAAGCTTCCATTTGCATTCACTTTCATTAATCAACATCTAAAATGACATATTCAGTGTGGATTTGGGTAAACTGTGCTACCGGTAAATACTGCAAAATACAGGTTGGTTACAGCAGATTTATGTGGCATATTTAAATTATGGTAGTATTAGATGGAAGGCATAATATTTCCTGCTGTTGCTGCATTTAAGGAAAAATTTTATAACTTGCAAGAATATAACAGTCATTGAATCAGTTCTCAGAATGTACCCTTTTTCATGTGCATACTTTTCAATCAACAGTTGAAAAGACCTCTATATATGAGACCTTTGTTCACCCATACTTGTTGCTAAAGTGTAATATTTGTATTAGATTCAATTTTTTTTTTCTTGTCTAGAAATGTTCACATCTCATCGAAGTTGTAAAATTGTGACTATAAAATATAATACATGTTGAGTTATTCCTTTAGAGCATATTTCATGACATGAGAACTTGATGAAGGATAATCCTTAAGGTCTTATTTTTAATACAAATGCATAAATTTCTTCCACTTTTCTAGAAGCAGTTGCATTTTTTTACTTTAGTGCATATTATACAAAACACCAACCAACATCTAGTACAAGGACTGTATTGAATGGTATACATATGTAAAGAACATAATTTTCAAAATAATGAAGGTAAAAAAATAAGTTGTTTGTACCATGTTTAACTAGTTGTATTTTTAAAGTAATTGGTATTGTTGCAGAAAGTGATTATTCCGGAGTTGGTTAAGTGCTGGATACTGTAGAAAAAGTTGTGAAGTGAGACAGTACCAACTTTGTCTTTCAGCTGCACTTAAGCTGTCTAAAATTGTACAGGTAAGAAATGTTATTTGTCTGCATGTTTTTATTGTTGTTGTTTTTTTTAATTTCAGTAATGTAAAAGTTGGAGAGATGATATTTCATTATCTTAAGTAACATTGGTTGAATTTATGAAACACTTTGTAGGTGGTCAGATTGTATATATATATATATATCTCAAGTTTTTTTTTAAAGTGCAAAACAATAAAACTTTAGAGAAAATAAGTTTTAAATATCTTCAACAATTACATTTTCTTGATAATCCCAAATACAGAGGTGGTTTCTTGCACAATCTTGACAGCAGTATCACAAATCTTTTTGATTATCAACTAAGTGACAATGAAAATAGCCCTAACTATTGATTAATCTTTTGTTTTTACACCTCCTTAACTCTGTCAACTTTATGGGTTTTTTTTAGATTTTTCTTTATAAATTAAATGATGAAATTATCTGGGCTAAATGTGATCTAACCTTTGATAATATTTGGATACATATTAATAGTCTTACACTTGACATGTTTCACAAATGCATCATAAAAAAATATATATTGCTTAATGTTTATGAAATGTCATCTCTCTAAATTTGAGTAAAAAATAGATGGAGGCTT